TCGTAGATCTGGTATTGTGTTAGACTGAAGTTCCTGCCTTTACAGGGATCTCTGCTGGAGTGAGCAGTATTGTAGATAATACATTATGATGTTTTGAGGGGACGGGAGGTTTAAAGCAGAAGCAGATGAGTTGGGAGTGAAATTTCCAATGTAGGTACTATTTGAACTAGGCTTGAAGAATTAGAAATGACTAGACAAAATTGTGTGTTTGTGGGTGTGCCTTTGAGCCTGTGTGTGTGTGTGTGTGTGTGTGTGTGTGTGTGTGTGTGCATTTTCAGTGGAAAGCTATAGAGGTGTAATGGAGATGGCATAAAATAAAGCAGTTTTAAGAGGTCATTGCTTCCTTAGGTGATAAGGGCCATTGTGGTGTTTTGAATGAAAATGGCCCCCATAGGCTCAGAGGAAGTGACATTATTTGAAAAGATTAGAACCGGTGGCCTTGTTGGAGGAAGGCTATGGGCCTGTCTGTCCTGGAACTCACTTTGTAGACCAGGCTGGCCTCAAATTCACAAAGATCCTACTACTTCTGCCTCCCAAGTGCTGGGATTAAAGACATAGGCCACCAAGACTGTCTTGCATATATCTTATGTCAAAATGTTTAAACGTACATGCTAGAACAGATAATAAGCAACATCACTAAAACTGGCTACGTGTTTGTGGGAAGAGAATTCTTTCTTTTGTATTTAACTCATGAAGTAGGAAATCTCCGGTGAGTCTGATAACCAGGATTTTAACAAGTGATGACCCAGAAAGCTGGAAACTGACAGCAACTTATCAGATAGTAAAGCCACACTTGATTTGGGTCTTAAAATTACTGAGAGTTGCCGGGCGGCGGTGGCGCACGCCTTTAATCCCAGCACTTGGGAGACAGAGGCAAGTGGATCTTTGTGAGTTTGAGGCCAGCCTGGGCTACAGAGTGAGTTCCAGATCAGCAAGGGCTATACAGAGAAACCCTGTCTCAAAAAAAAAAATTTACTGAGAGTTATAAAAACAATTGCTTTCATGGAATTGCAGAAAATGCAGTCCAAAGGAGTTTAGTAATATGAAGTCGATTCTATTAGGAAACATCACATTTCTTCAGTTCTTTGAAAGACCAGGCTGTTTCAGAACATACTCTGAGTGGTTTGAGTGTTTATTGCTCCTTTACACATATTTTCATAAACACCTTCCTCGCTGCCAGGATCTCTGCGCTTTTCGAACAGGATTTGGTTCATTTCTTTTGGTCCCCGGCTCTGGCCAGCCTCACCCAGCTATGATTGCACGTTCACTGTTTATCTTTGTCATCATCGGGGTTGTTTTTAGTTTCCTCTTCAACTTTTCCACAAATTTTCCCCCTTGTAATCCCGCCTCTTTACTATAATGATGCCCTGCCTTTTTCTGGGTTTGCTATATTTAAGGCTTTCTGTTCTAAAGAGGTGGAAAAACATTTAGATGGTGATGAAGACAGTATACTGAAAGGATACCAGGGCATCTCTAAAACATTTTGAGGCCGGGAGGAACGTAGCAATTGTGAAATCAGCAAGCCCTGGCTCTGTGTTTCTAGGCTCATCCATTCTCTGCGTGTTTTCACTGTTCTTATGGCTGCTCTATGGTCCCGTATCTTTTGTCTGAATGAAGCTTTTGCTGGATTGGATCCAACCCTGACTTCATATTCCTAACCTACCAACTTCATTTTATTATCTCAATTAACGAGGCTAATTTCTGTACTTCCAGGCTAGAGAAGTCCAATTTGCTGGCTCATGAATGAGTTCTTCGTATGGTAGCTATCTTACGTTAGGGTAGGACACGGGTGCCATTTGGCACAAGCAGGGCTCCTTGAAGTGGGTATGAACATTAGGTAAGATTGGCATCTCAAGCACTGTGTTCTACCACGTCATCTCAACACTCAAGTGTTGAGAGTTGAAAAATGCTTCCCTGCAGACTACAGTTAACTCTGGTCCCCCAGCAGTCTTCACAATGATGTGCCTCTTTTAAAACTAAGAATTCTGCATCTTTCCTTCCAATGCTCTGCTTTTCAAGGCTACCTCTGAACTAGGGTAGGAAGACAAAATTGATGATTTTTCCTCCCCAATCATATAAAGTTCTCAGTAGCTAAATAAAATGCTTAGGTCTCTTAGAGGTACTTTAAAAAAAAAAACACTGTCTTTCCATAGCTCTATGCTCTATCATCACTCATAAATGGAAATAAAGCCATCCAACAAGCCAGTCAAGCAACCAAACAAAAAGTAACTCTAGTTTACTCCACATAAGTTTGACATATTTTCAACCATGGTACATCATAATATTGAGTTTCTTAGCAGATACTTAGTCATGCTTATAAACTGATCGGGGAAATTTTATATATTTATTTATTAACAAAGCTTTTCATACACATTGCATCCTTGGCCTTTGGTGTTAACTGTACAAAATTCAAAAGTAAAAATCATTTTATGGAGCTGAAGGGATGGCTCAGTGGTTAAGAGTACTGGCTACTCTTCTAGACATTGGAGCTCTGTTTTTAGCACTCATATGGCTACTGTCTGTAACTCCAGTTCTAGGGGATTCAACGCCCTCTTCTGGCCACCATGGGCACTGCAGGCACATGGCACACATACATATGTGAGGACAAAACACTCATATACATAAATAAAAATAAACTAATCTTAAACAGTTCATTTTGTTAGCCTTCAAAATATACTTAGTGTCTTCTCTCCTTCTTCCTCCTCGACCTCTGTTTTTGGTGTTGGAATTGAAAACATTTCTACTTATGACTCAGGCAGGCAGGCCTGACACAACTTAGGTAAACACTCTACTACATTCCCAGACTAAAATCCTTGCTATTGTCACAGAGCATGCAGAAAACACCTTGAAGGGTTGCCGTTGTCCAAGTCTGGTGTATTTCGTCTTTCATGTTCTCCCTGTCCTCTGAGAATTTCCCCAGTGAACACAGAAATAACCTGGAAATTTTGAATTAGTCTACTAATTGCGTAGATATGCCAGGGAAGGCAAAGTCCTGTGTTGACGTCTCCATTCTTCTTCTTAATGACCATGTGCTCTTGAGGAAGGCTTGTCTCTTCACTGTGCCTCAGCCTCTGAACCCCAGGAAGAAATAGTCAGGACTCAGTACCTCGGAAGCATGCTGTGTGGATGAAATGGAATAATATATGGGAAAGTGCTTTGTAAACTGGAAAGTAACCCTGATCTGTAAGGGGATATTATTATTTATTTTATGAGGCAGTCAGAATCAAAGCCCCGGTTTCAATGCCGGGAGGATTTTTCCTCATAGATCTAGTTCTTGAAGCTTGGCTTGGCCTTGTTAATGAGTACTTTCCAAATAAAGGTCCATCTACTGCTTTGATTTTTGAGAACTTCCCTTTACTCTGATTCAGAGTCACATGGGGGAGGTACCCTTGTAAAGCCATTGTTTAATTTAGGCTTTTTTCATACTGCGCGTGTGTCCGGCTATTCTCTGGTCTCGGTCTCTGAGGAGCCTTTGAGGGCAGGCCTTGCTTCTTTCCCTTACATACAGTTTGGCAGCGAATGAGATGTTTTGAATAGGGATGAAAAAAAAAACCAACCCAGTGTGTAACCTGTCACCTCAAGGAAGGAGCACGTCCTGTTCTGGAGAAACGGCCTCAGTGCCAGCCGAAGACCATCCTGGTGTTTTCGCTTGTGACTCAGGCAGGAGCTGCAGAATTGCCTCACTCTATGGAGTAAGCACCCTGTGAGACGTTATCAGCCATGGCTCTTCTCTTCAGCCACCCAGACTTTGAGTCTCAAGGTGTTTTCAAGACAGCGAGAGCCCCAAGCTTTTCATGCTCACAGACAGGGAAAGTACAGAAACCATACTGAAAAGTCATTGGTAGAAGCAGATCTTCTATGAATTTTAATCTTCAGTGGGTAGCCGGTTTGCTTTCTTTAAGTCTCTTGATGTGTCTTCAATGGAGATGGGCGTTTCCAGGCTTTTGTGTATAAATATCACCTGTCGCTTGTATTTTAATGCTCACCCCGAAGCCCTTGTCACTCAGATGGTGGAGCCCAGAGAAAGCGGGACATGGAACTTTTACAACCATAATCCTGTTGTTACTGTTTAAAGTACAATAGAAAATGGAGGAACTGAAAAGTAACCTCCTATCTTTAGCCTTTTGGATAGTATTGTGGTTTGTGTGTGTGTGTGTGTGTGTGTGTGTGTGTGTGTGTGTGGTGTGTGCCTGTCTCTGTGTGTGTCTTTCTCTCTCTGTGTGTGTACTCGCCTGTCTGTGTATATATGTCTCTCTCTCTCTGTCTCTCTCTGTATGTACACATCTGTGTGGAGGGCAGAGGTTGACATTGTTGGCTTTCCTCACTGGCTCTCCATGTCATGTTTTATGAGAGCATCTCTCTCTGAACCCAGAACTTGCTGATTTGGCCAGACTGGTAGCATGAAAGGCAGCCAGCAGGGAGGAAACTTTCTCTCTAGTACCAACTTGATTTTTCCATGTCCTGTCATCCAAGTGTGTGATGTCTTCAGCAACAAAGTCTTAACCAGGGGACTGAAATTCTAATCTTATAATTAATTCATCATTCCATTTTTTCTGTTCCCCCACTAGTGAATTTATTCCTAAGTTACAAAGAAAAGTGAAAATGAACTGCAATAAAAAAAAAAATACTAAATGTTGTACCTCAAGCCAAGAAATCTTAGCTTTTTAATAACTACAGAAGCAGGATTTTTATTAATTCCCAGTTCTCATTAGTACTCCATTTCTTTATAATCAAGAAACCTGGTGTATAGATGGTAGATGTTTTTGACTTGTACATAGTCTTTTAATATGGCCAACTCCTTGTGAGGTCTGGCATACACATCTCTGGGATTTCCCCCAAGAGTGCCCCAGGTGAAGTCATGAACAGATGCAGCCAACCATATACTTGTTGGTTGCTTGAAAATATTCAGGGGTTGAGTGATGTGTGATCTATTATCAGACTCGATGCTTTGAGGGTCAGGTTGGGAAAGTTTAAGAAATATTTAGGAAATAATAAGTTACCTGCTTTGACTTGTGTACAAGATCCACAGAAAAATAAAGGACCGAGATGGATGGAAGAACTTCTTCCCCTTTTTAATTCACCTTGAATGTGGTTATTGACGCAACCTGTAGATGTAATGATGCTAATTATTACAAAATATTTTGCAGATATGCAAGGAAATGTAGAGTGATACTCTAGTGGGGGAAGCCAATAGACCTATATCTGAGCCTCCCTCTTCCATCTGCTTGCAGAGTAATATGGGAAAAGCCTCAGTCTCCTTATCCATTAAATGACAAAAATATTTGTTTTGCAGGGTTGTGAGGATTAGATGATCAGGCATGTAACTTTTACATATAAATTTAGGTCTTACATTGCCTATTGCAGAGTGAATAATAGAGACTGGAACCTTCACCGTTTCTCTCTTGGATGGCTGCTCTAGCCTCCTCAATGGCTTTCTTGCTTTGATGCCCAATCTGCTTCGTTTTCTCCACAGTGCAGCAGCTGTAATGATCCTCTTATAGTGTGAGTGGACTCTCTGCTCAAAAGCCTCCCGATCGATGGTTCTCCATCACACACAGAGTTCCCGTCTCATAATGGCCAGCGTGTTTTAAATTCTATCTCCTCTTGATTCTATCTGCTACGTTTATCCCACCCTTCCACTTGCTGAACATGCACAGCTCAGGCAGTACCTACACCTGACACCTCTAATGTGCCTTCTTTGTTTAATTTTTGTATCAAACGTTTATCAGCAACCAACACTTTCCATATTGTCCTCCCTTATCGAATCTGTTGTTTGTGTTACCTAAGTAGATAACAGACTCCAACAGGACAAGGATTTCTTTTGTGCACACGTTTGTCCCTATTCCATAGTGCACATTTCTGAGCCCAGTTGGAAAAGCCCTCCACAAATATATATTCAATTACTTTTAAAGTTACACATGGATACGTGTATATCGATCTTTGGGTGTGTGTTTGCACACATGTGTGTACTAAGGCACAAGTGTGTAGATGCCAGAAGACAGCGTTGGGTGTCATTTCTGACCTTCTACCTTGTTTGAGACTGGCCTCTGATTAGCCACCATGTAAGACAAGCTAGTTGGCACATGGGCTTCTATAGATCCCTCTGTGTCCACCTCCATGGATGAGCGCTAGAATAACAGACAAGCCACACTCTGTCTGGCTTCTGAAGGGTTCTGGGATCCTCATGCTTCCGGCACAATCCCTTAACCACCAGCCCCCCAAGCCATCTCTCAAGACTGTAAACTGAATATATTTAAGGTGCACAGCATGATGCTTTCCTACTTTTCATTTTGATTTTTTCAAGACAGGGTTTCTCTATGTAGTCCTGGCTGTCCTAGAACTCACGCTGTAAACCAGGCTAGCCTCGAACTCAGAGAACTGCCTGCCTCTGCCTCTTGAGTGCTGGGATTAAAGGCATGCGCCACCACCGCCTTGGCTTCATATGCTTTTCTTGATGTAGCTATGGCTAGGAAGGCCATCGTTAACATTCCTGTCATTTCATGCATTTACCTTTTCTGAATATGGAAGACATGTTAGAGAATTAAAGTCCTCTCTTAGGTTATTAGGTACATGATTATCCATCTATTTGACAAACACTTTTACATACAAGATATGAGCCATCATTACCCTGTCTTCCTACTTTTTTTTTTTGAGATAGGGCAGGAAACTCCCCATAGCCCACCATCCAGAGACAATGCTATTTGTGTCATGTGAACTACAGTGTAGATATTCCCAACTGCTACAAGAGGCAGGGTTTGATTTTCTTTTTTTTGGCTTTTCCTTATTTTTTTTAAATTTTTATTTTATAATTTAATTTAATTTTACATATTATTTTTCAAAAATTTTTTATTTTATAATTTAATTTAATTTTACATATTATTTTTCAAAAATTTTTTATTTTATAATTTAATTTAATTTTTACATATTATTATTTAATTTTTTATTTTATAATTTAATTTAATTTTACATATGGGTTTGATTTTCATGCTACACTATCCTTCCAAGGTCACAGAGCCTCTAAACACTCTCTTCTAAAATTTTAGAAATTTATCTTATTTCCCATTACTGTTTTCAAAAGCTATTCAAGGAAGAATTAGAAAGCTATTTTCAGAGTTAAAAAAAAATACCTGAGGGAGAAGAAAGTTCTAGACATCTCTCCAGTGAATGGATCTTTTATCCTAAATATTTCTCCTCACACCAATGACCAAAACAAAATTTAGGTTTAGAATAATGTTTAGACATACCATAAATATGTGATGATCTTAATAAAATGTGACTTTAGTTCTATATTTAGTCCCATTATGATTTGACTCAGGTCTCTTTAAAAAAAAATCACTGTTGTGAGTTTGAGATTTCATTAGCTCCTTATGACTAGAGAAGTGATTATCTAAAACTTGGTACTTTATTATTGGGAGCACTAGATTAGGTTTGAAAAGTAATTATCAGATTTAATTTTAAGATTTTTCCATGTCTGGTTATGAGAATAGGCTATGAAAAGTATTTATTCAATCAGATAAGTCAGCTTCCTCTAAGTTTTAATATGATTCTTGAGTCGTAATTTTACTTGAATGTATTCAAAGTAATTTCTCAGTTACTTCGTGATTTGATTTTTAATTATTAATCAGTACTGCCGTTCTGCTGTGCAGTGTGATTTAAATGAGACCCCTTCATGGTACTTTGTCTGCAAAGGCATTGCATCTGCTTGTACTGGTCACACTGCATCTTCCATGTTTAATACAAGCAAGGCATCCTGAAGCCATGCAAAGAAAACCATCCCAGCCCAGAGCAATCAGCGGGGGACTTGGCACGATCCTTCTAGTAATCACATGGGGTTAACGAAATTGTAAACTCTGAGATAATGTTACTTTGTGGAGAGACCTGGGTCAAATTATCATGGACATTTCTCAAATGGAATTAAAATTAGGGAGGAGGAAGTTCCAGTTGATTGCGATCTGGCCAATCTCAATGCTGTAACAATCAGATGTTTTGAATTTACTCAGGTTCGCCCTTCCACGGCTACGGATGAAATCAAGAACTCAGTTTGGGAAACATGTCACCGTTCCCTGGCACCATCCGCCTGTTTTCTTTAAAAGTAATGCATCGAAATGGGAAACTGGATGAACTAAAAATGAATGAATAGGAAAGGAATGGAAGGTCCAATTTGTTAAAAAAAAAAAAAATTACACCAATGAAAACTGATCAAATTTGAGGGAGAAATCAAAAAAAGGTTTTTCCTAAGGTGAATTGCAAAGGATGAATTAGAATTTTTTTCCTTAGTTCTAATCTCTCATCTGTATTTAAAATTGATTTTATTGTATTCTTTACAGAACCACAAAACAAATAATTATCTCACAAGGGATGGCATAGAAATTGCTGCTCCAAATTAGAACTGCCACGGCCATGCCTGCTGCTTGGAAGATTAGGTAGGAAGGCAGTTTGAAAAGATCGCAGAAACGTTAAAACTTTTCCCTACGACGACATCTCCTGAAAGAGGTCCCAGACAGCCTGAAAAAAAGGGAGTCTCCATGTTCTTTAGATGTCAGAGCGAAGAAAGCACAAAGCTCTCAGGAGTCCCTTAGTGACTAACGCCGCCGCTGTCAATGGTCCCCATCACGCCGCCGCGTTCTGCCAGCATCATCTGAGTTCCTGGTATGTGATGGGTGCCAACATCATCGTGGGCTCGGGAAACAGATTTAGTCGGGGGAAAAAGATCTGCCGGACTCTAAAGGGAAGTGAGAATCAACTGAACACTAAACTTTTTTCTGTTTCTTTTTTTGGTGTATGTATGCAGATGTTTATGTGAGGGTGGTCATGAGTGCGTGTGCGTATGTGTGCACGGGTATAGATAGGTTCAGTTGTGAAATCCAGAAGTCGAAGTCTGGCCTTTTTGTCGATCACTCTTACATTTTTAATTGAAATATAATTATATCATTCTCCCCTTCCTTTTGTGGTGGTTTGGGTGAGAACGGTTCTCCTCGGCTTGTGTAATTGAATATTTGGGTTCCATTTGGTGGTTGCTTGGGAGGTGTTGAGAGGAATAGCCTTGTTGGAGGAGGTGTGCCACTAGGGGCCAGTTTGAGGTTTCAAAATCCTCCCACCATGTGCAGTGCGTTCTCTGCGGTCTTCTTGCTCTTTGAGATGTGAACTCACAGCCGTGGCTCCAGAAGCCTGCCACTTGCTACCTCTGTTCCACCATCCTGCCCTCCCCCTCTGAAACCATCAGCCCCACATAAACTCTCTTTCCTAAAACTTGCCTTGGACATGGTATCTTATCACATAGCAATGGAAAAGCAACTAGGCCAGTATTCCTGCTTCCGACCTCGCTACCTGTCTGTGGGTATAAGAATTAAGTGGTTAGAACGCAAATGTTTGATCCTCTGCTTCGAACATTTCCCATGTTTACCTCCCTTACTCCCTTTCAAATTCATGGGCTTTTTTTTTCTTTATCATTGTTGTGCATTTAGTGTTGCTTGTGTGCATACGATTTGAGGATTTATCACTTGGTATTGGGTAATCAGTTAGGGGTGCGTTCTTGGGGAAAACTAATTCTCCCTCTCTGTTGCCTGTAGTCCTTTGTCTGTATGTGGAGTTCCTTGAGATTTCTTCCTTCCACACGGGTGTCTATTGATGTTGACACTGTTTGGATCTTATTTAGACAGCCATTTTGCTGTGGTATCATGGGCGAAGCTTTTTTGCCATTTTTAGGAGACACAGTCTCATAGCAGACTCCCTGTTCCTCTGGCTCTTACAATCTTTCCGCCTCTTTTCCTGTGATGTTCCCTGAGTCTTAGGCGAGGAGTTGTATTATAATGTATCTGTTGGGGCTGGGCACCCCACACCCAGGTATTCTGTGAATTGTGATCAGTGATGGTTTTCTGAGATGGTCCATGGCTAGTGCAAGGAGAAGCTTCTTTGATAAGGGTGAGAGCTACCTGCCTGTGGGTATCAGGATTAAGTAGTTAGAATGCAATCAGGGATTCTACTGGTCTAGGAAAGGGGCATCAGTAGGTTCTTCTCTAAGATCCACAACCTCATTAGATTCAGGTAGCGGGTTAAGTTTACAGAACCAGACATGATTTCTTTCCTGGTGAGTGGGTCTTAAGTCCAATAAGACATCTGTTGGTTACTTCTAAGACACAAGTGCCACTATTACAGCTACACAGATATCTTGCCAAGTTGGTCTTTGTTGTAGTTTATTGGTATCACAGTCAGGTAGGACTTTGCTTTCCTCTCCTGGAAGTCTTCATAGCACCCTGGGGTACTACAAAAGCTAGTCCTCAGGGAGGAAGCTTTTAGGTCAGATCCAGCTCCAGTCTTCCAAGGCCTGTGTTCAGTTACATTCCACCTCCATTTGTTGAGATAAAGACTCTCACTAAACCTGGAGTTTGCTGATTCAGTGAGACTGGCTGGCCAGCAACTCCCAAGAATCCCTTTGTCTCTGATTTCCCAGCATTGGGATTAATGGCACACACTTCATGTCTAGCTGTTTATGTGGGTTCTGGGGATACCACT